TTATGGTAATGTAACCATATAGTAGTTTGAAATGTTTATTTCTGTCTTCGGCCAATATAGTGCCCAAATGTATTAATCTTAATAGCCATTGATTTTAATTTGTTCTCCTGAAATCTTCCAAACCTTTAGACTGGTAAGGAGTAGCTAAAACTGATAAATGTCTGCCAAACCCTCAAATTGGTAGGAATTAGCTGATGCTTATAAATATGTTGGTCCCAACTCTACATGCCATTAATGAACTTTTCACATCAAACTTCTTTAAAATTAATATATATATATATATATATATATATATACATATATATATATATATATATATATATGTCTCAATGGTACTTCCAAACTCCATTAAAAAAAAAAAAAATTATATGGCTGAAATCAAATATATTGATATCAGATTGGATTACAAAGTATATTTCAAGTTTGCAAAACTACCAATGCATACTAATCAAATATATTGATATCAAATTGGTATGTCAATTCTTTTTGGAGTATCTAATCAAATAATATATATAATGTATATATACCAAATTACCAATGCATTTATTTATTTTTTGGGGAAGTTTTTTATTAATTTAGATGTATGTGGCCTGCAAATCCATAGAAAATGGATTATACTCTTCGCACTTTGGATTAAAATTATGGACCTAGCCATTGGATTCTTCCCAACAACTTTCCTCATTACTTTTCTTAATAATTTCCATTATGATTTCAAGCTATTTGGCATCGGAGAAGATGACATACTAATCATATCTACTACAAACTGAGAGCTGGATTGTCCTAATTAAATTTACAAACTACTAGGCAAAAACTTAAGTATGCAAAACTTTCTATTGCACTGTTTTTGGGCTAAACCAGTTAATAATTATTTACCTTTTCATGACAATGATTGTAAGTTAGGTTACAGCAGCCCATAATTCTATCCCTTGGTGGTTATTCTTTCTATTTCTAAAACAAAGACACAATTATACACACACACCCTTTAATTTCACCTTTAATAATTAATTGCTAATTTCCCTTTGCTTTATACTACTCCACTATAACAATTAATTTTTTTAAAAAAACATTTATTTATAGCTTTGAAGAAAATGTCTTTTGTTGGCTTTTCTCGTTGATGATTGAAATGATACTGTTTTGATGCACTGTACGTGCTAAATACTCTCTAAATAAGAGGTTCGTATATATAACAAAATAAATCATGTGTATATATATAAACAAGTGTTCATAAGACACAATCCTCAGTCAAAAAAAGGTCAACAGAGACATTGAAGATGCCAAATACATTGACTTAAATTAATACAAAGGTAATCAAAGTGTAATTTTCATGTCTTTAGCTATTGTTGGTTGGTCCATCGAAACTACTTATTAGCAACTGGCTGGAATAGCAACTGAGTGGAATGCAAGCTGTAGGTGCTTGGAAGTATATGGTGGAGAATTTAGACCTAACCTTTACTTAGTACTTCAATTAATTGACCTAATTATTGAAAGTTTTGATAATGATGAGTATTCTCTTTGAAATTTATGGTAATACATCATTTCTAACCATGTAGATGCTTATATCATTGTCTTGATTTTGAGGTTTGAGCACCTTTGGAATTATGTGTATGTATTATTCAAAATTTGAAACATATAAAAAAAAAATAAAAAAAAAAAACCAAATTTCCATTTCAGATGTCAAAACTGAAACACCTAATCCTGCTTCTTGAATGACAATGTTAAACAAGTGTGTCTCACCATCTAAGGTCACACCCAACTGCCTTAGTTTCTCACCCAAGCATTCTATTCTCTATCTGTTTTTGTTAATTTTTTTTTTTTACTCTTTTATGATTATGCTTGTTAGTGGGACCATCTAGCTGATTTTTACTTTTAACTCTTGTTTTCCTGGTTTAGATTGCATTATGTTTTGATTAACAACAGACCAATAAGTAGACTTCTTCAAATTCATCTGTTTATACCAAGCCATGCACAATCTATCCTTTGAAAGTAAAAATTCCCAAGCTAAAACACATTTAGCAGCTTTGTCAATGTCAATCAACTTTCGTATGCCCAAACCACCTTCAGATTTTGGAGTAGATAGCTTTTTCTAACACAAACCATGGAGCTTATAAGATTGAGAACTATAACCCCAGACAAAATTTTGCATTCTTCTCTCTATAATGTTAATAACAGCAGCTGGAAGAGAATAAACAGAGGTCCAATACAATACCATAGGAGTAATAACAGCTCTAATCAATTCAACTCTCCCAGCTATAGATAAATTCATACTAGCCCATCTTATGGTAGCTGCTTCAACCTTTTCAATCAAAGGTTTACAATCCAATCTTTTTAGGCCTTTATTAGAAATCGAAACACCTAAATAAGTGAAAGGAAGATTTCCTTGTTTGCATCCAAGAATTCGAAGTATCATGGACTTTTTTCTCATCGATCTAGTAAAAAAAATCTTAGACTTATCTCCATTAATAGCCAAACCAGAAACTGAATCAAAGTGTCTCATCATTCTCCTTAAAGTCAAAACTGAGGCCATGTTGCCCTCCCTACTACAAGAAGGTCATCTGCAAAAAACTAGTGAGTAACCCCAACCTGTGCCCTTCGAGTTGCTTCAGAAACCACCAGATGTCCTGCATCACATTCATTTTGGAACATACCTGAAAGGTAATCTGTCACCAAGGTAAATAAGAGGGGAGATAGGGGGCAGCCTTGCCTAATTCCTCTAGATGATTTGAAAAAACCATAAAGACTACCATTAATTAACAATGAAAACCAAGCTGTGGTAATACATCCCTGAATCCAACCTATCCATTTGCTGCCAAACCTAAATAATTGAAGAATGTGAAACAAAAAGTTCCATTGAATAGAGTCATAAGCCTTTCAGTGGTCCACCTTCCAGACTAAAATAGGCTTAGTAGACTTGGCTCCAAAACCTCTCAATAATTCATTTGCAATGATAATATTATCTTGAATTTTCCTTCCACTTATAAAAGCATTATGTTCTTTCCCTACCAACTGATCCAAAACAGTCCCCAATCTTAAGGCAAGAATTTTAGTAATCACCTTGTACAAAGTATTGCAAAGTGAGATTGGTCTGAACTCCCCTACCTTGACAACATCTTTACCTTTTGGAATCAAAGTAATAAAAGTATTATTAAGCCCCTTATCCAAAGAAGAATGAACAAAAAAATGCAACACTGCATTAGTAACATCCTCCCCAACAATATCCTAATAAACCTTAAAGAATTTCATAGGAAAGCCATCAGGGCCAAGAGTTTTATCAGCTCCCATTGAAAATATAGTGGTCTTGATTTCCTCCCCTGTAATAGGTCTCTCAAGATACCCTGCTTCCTCAGGAGTAAGAACATTCCTAACATACTCTGCCGCTGGAATACTATACTGGCCTTTAGATGAGAACATTTCAGTATAGTAATTTAAAAGCTTATTTCGAATACCAATATCATTATGAATCAAATTACCAACATCATCCTGAAGTTTAGTAATGTTATTTTTCACTCTCCGAGCCTTAATCTTCTGATAAAAAAACTTTGAACATTGATCTTGGTCTTTAATCCAACTTACTCTAGCCTTCTAAAAAAGCAAAAGCTCCTCATTGGACTGAGCAATTTCATATTCTCTTCAAGCGTCATCCTTTTTCTGAATAAGATTATCATTAGAAGGAAACTGAAATAAATCTCTCTGACAATCCTCAAGATCCTTCTTAGCAGTAATTAACCTCTCAAAAACTGAACCAAACTTGGTTATATTCCAAATCTTAATAGCTTGTTTCACCCCCTTTCAGCTTTTTAATAACCCTAGCAATTGGATCTCTAACCATTACCATTTGCCAAGCCTCAGCCACCACTTATTTAACCATAGGTTGAGCATTCCACAAATGAAAAAATCTAAAGGGTTTTGAACCTGAAGCAACCTGCAAAGGAACTTGTACACATATCCCCCAATGGTCTGAAGCTAAAGGAGGAGTAAGTTCAATTTGAGAAAAAGGAAAAAGGTCACTCCATTCTTCATTCATCAACCCTCTGTCCAGCTGAAGATAAATTCTACGTGAAAACTATCTCTTATTACACCATGTATAAGTGCCATTAAGAACAGGAATATCAACAGGAGTTAAGAGATCAATAACGTCATTGAAATCCTTCAACACCTTAATTGATAAAGATTTGCCACCAATTTTCTCATGATTATATCTAACAATATTCCAATCACCAATAAGTAACCATGCCCCTGTAATCTTAGAAGCCATATCCATAAGACATCTCCACAATTCCTTTCTTTCTGCAGCAGTAATTTCACCATAGACACAACTGACCCAAAAAAACAAATCAGTATTTAAAAAAAAATTTCATTATTAAAGTTCTAGGAAGATTGTTGATTTTCTAAAGTTCTTAATATTCCAAGGGAATATATAAAATGCATAATGCATAATGGTCATTCTAGAAAAAAGAACCCCGCCAAGTTGGTTTTATAAAGCTAGGAACAAGGAAATTAGGGATTTCAACAGGTTTTCCATGCTCTCTCTCTCTTCCTTCTTTTTTTTTTTAATTTGTTTTTTTATTCTTCTATTTTTTTCTGCTTCAATTGTTGATTATCAAGCAGAATTGTGCATGCCAGCCTTGATTTAGCTGTTGCCCCTTTGCTTCAACTGTTACTCTATGTCTATTATATTATTCCCAATAAGTTATAGAAGTTTGATTTTTAGAATTGTTGTTTGAAAATTTTAAAGTAGTGTGATATTATAATATTGGCGGGTATTATATATATATCTTCTCTATGAAAATGTTTGAAATATTATTTAAAAGATGTGCATAATCTGTCTTTTATTGTTTTTCTATTTATTATTTTTTTTAAAAGGTAAAATATATTTTAACTAATTTAATTGGAGAAAGTTTAATTCTTACACGTATGTATATGCATATACCTAGTTTAAATTTTTATACTGACCAGTACATTTTCTGTCTCTAGTTTAGTTGGATGAACATGCTGATCTGCAAATGCAGGAATGTTCATATTGTGCACTTATTGCTGAAAAGTTTGTGCTGACTTCACCAGAGATATTGGCTGGGAAAGGAATCAGCCGACTTCTGGTATGTAGTGCTTCTGAACTTGCAACTGTCAATTTCTTTTCTTATTTTTTCTTTTTCTTTTTTTTTTTCTTTTTTTTTAAATTTTATTTTATTCCGTTTAATCTTTTTATGTTTCATATATTCAATACCTACTTCGCCAAAAAAAAATTGCTGAGATGTTCCAATGCAGGACGTTGAAGGGAACTATCAATATGTGCCCTTTCCCCCTCCGAAATATCCAACACAAACTGAAAAATAAAACTTCTGTTATGAATTCTTCTTAGGAGATTTGTAGATTTATCAACATTTTAGGATATGGGCTATCAACTTCCTGACCATGCCATTAAACGTAAAACTACATTTGGTCAAGATAGAATTGAAATGAAGTTAAAAGACAAAGAAATAAGTGAAATGAAGAGGTCACACTTATACTAAATAATAAATTTAATAAAAAAAAATTTTAATTACCCCATCTATATCATTCTTCTGTGCTCTAGTATTTTATTAGAAAAAAATATGAGTCCATTGATCGGCACATATTTATATTCAAGTGATTTATGTAACATGCATCACAAACTATAAAAATTTAAAATTGTATATAGAAAGACATATATGCATCAACATTTTTATTGAGGAGGTATTTGCTCACACCAATTCTATTAGTTGATGCTTGGTAGAGCACCATAGTCATTAATAAGATTAGGTTGAAGCAGACTTGATGTAGTATAGTTATCTTTCTAGGTTAGGTCTGTGCTCGTTTGTTTTGCATATTTATTAGTGTAACTTCTAAAATTAAGCAAGCAAGGATGGAAGATGAAGATAGTATTCGGTCCTTCAAGGACTCAGAATGACTCTGTAATGCTAGGTGGTATGACTTTAAGCAGAATAAAATTTTCGCATGCTGTATTGTCATTGCTTGTCATACTAGTTCTCCCCACATTTTTACAACTGTGAGTTCAGGTAGGAAGAAAATCTTTTTTGAACTATGTTGGCCAGAAACAATCAAGCATCCTTAGTTTTCATGAACATCCAAATGCCACATTAATTAGTTGCAGCATGTTGCTTCTATCCTTGCCCTATCTTTTGTTTGATGACTTCTTTCCTTGTGATGATCAGGTTTGCAGAAGTGATTCTTTGGTGTTTCGAAGAGAATCTCGGGCTTGGAGGAGGCCAGCTATCAGAATCAGGAGGTAATCTAAACCCTTATATATTCTGTGATGTGTTCCTTATATATTTTGTTATGTGTTCCTTATATATTTCTTGAGATATAGTTGAAATAAGCTTTCTGTTTGTTCTTACATTGAGATTGGGAAAGTAAAAACAGAGAAAGTGATTGAGCTGAAAAGTTTTATTGCTCATGCCCCCACAGTTTGAAAATGAGAAATTGAAAGAAAGGAAAAACAAATGATTTGATCTTCAAGTTTGTTTTCGTGGCTGGCAGAATTGGATTTTTATTTTGAAAATTTCGTTATATGGTTGATTGTTTAATTACAATTCGCAGAAAGATAATTTATTTTTTCGTTGCAATGATTAATAACATTATGTAGATTACCCGTCACAAAGGGTTTTATTTTGGAATTCAAAAGCCAATTTTATCTTTGGCTTAAATTAGTCTTTCACATTTGGACCAAATTTGAAAACTGAATTTTTAAAAACTTGGGCCAGCTTTGATCAACCCAAGAGCTTTTAAGTTTCAGATTTCTTGGTCATGTTTCACCAAATTTTAACTGAGCTATTAATTTTTTTTTCTTTCTTTCTGATTTTATGGTTGGATTAATGGAGTTTAAATAGGATTTATCACTACAAATTTTCAACAAACTCTGTTTCAACAACCATATTTTCTGATTTTGACGATGTGCCTAGTTCAAGAGATTGAGCAGGGAGATAGGAAGAAAAACATAGCTTAAACAGGGAGAGATAAAACTAAATTGGACCGGGCTAGCGTTTGCAGAAGAATAAGAAGTTGTTGTCCTTTATATTATTATTATTATTATTATTATTTTTTGCTTCTGCTCTTCTCCTATTTACTCCAGATTTTGGTTAAAATAACAACACTAGTCATTAAAATTGCTTCTCTTAGTTTTTGGCTGTTGGTGTTCTCCTATTTACTGGACAATTTTTTTCCATTGTTTGAATTGTAATCTTGCAATGTTGTAGAAGCTTTTAAGTCAGTTTGTAGTGCAGTGGTAGAAGTCTTTTTCGCCCCTTGTTTAACAAGTTTTGAATTAAACAAATTAGACTGACTACAGTAAACCAAAACCGTATTTGTCTACAGTATACCATAAACAAATTAGAAATTAATTATCTTAAGACTTACCCAAAGCCATGGTGAGAAGGCTATAAACAATTTGCTAACTACTGCCCCAAATTTGAATATTTGGAGCTGATGAATCCCTTCTCAAGCCTCCAAAAAAGATACAATATAAATAAGACTAAATATTTAATGGGGAATAAGTAGAATCAAAATTTACAAGTTTGGCATGCCGACAAGGAAAGGAAGGAAACATTTCTGTGATGGAGTTACTCGACCTTCTTTTCATCCCAAGCCTTCAAATGACCATTAATTTCTCAGAAATATTAGGAGAGGTTGCCAGAGAAGATGTCATTGAAACTGAAGAAGTAAAAACAAAACAAAAAATGACATGATTACTCTTTTCCACTGTTATACAACCTAGAATAGAATCAATCATATATTCATATTGAATAAAGACTTAAATCTCCATTCCATCACTCATTTTATATCCATCTAATGTTATCCAATACCATCATTACATGAACTCAAATTAATAATGAAACAGTTAACCAAATAAAAATAAAAATACAGCGAAAAAATACTTTAACAAATTTCAATTACCAAAAAAACCAATGGAATTGCAGGGAAATTCTATTATGTGCGCTCCTATTCTGGAAACCCTTATCATCTACACAACTTCCAAGATCTACACCTCCATTTCTTTAACACCCTCATCTCTAATTAGAGTTAAGGGTTCCCCAATTTCATGAATATCCAGAAAGACATCTATGTCTATACAACCTGCATACACCTGAAACATCTAAAGTGCATCTAAATCTTCCTCTATCATCCTCTTTTCATTGGGTCAGAAGATAGATCTAGGAAATTATACCTACCAGTGTCTATAATACTAATGCCATGTGACCATGGCAGTGAACCAACAGAGTTTGAAGAAACTCCATTTCTTAATTACTATGTCTTTCAATTTTCTTTAACTGTATTTCACTCTTTTTTTTTTTTTTTTTTGGTTCTTTTTTAAAGAAATGATAAGACGGTTCTTACACTCATTCATTGTTCCTTCCATGATGGGCTCCACACACTTATATACATACACACACACACACACACATATATATATATATATATATATATATATATATATATATCCTTTATTAACTCTTGATGGATATATGTTCTTTTTTTTTTCTATTTTTTTTATTTATTTTTTATTTTTTTTGTGTACATTTAAGCAGTTACATGGATAAGTCTTGGATTCATCATCACACTAGGGGAAGTGTAAAGTATTTTGATGGCATACATGACTTCATTGATGTGGCTAGGCGTCATGCAGAAGTAGACGGTAGGTCCCGATGTCCATGTCGTCGTTGCAAAAATAGGACTTATCATCAAATTGAAGAAGTTAAGCAGCATCTCTTGAGAAATGGGATGGACAAGGGGTATACTAATTGGATATATCACGGGGAGGCTCGTCAAAGCAACAATAATGTTAATATTGATGCTAATGTCAGTAGGGAAAATGTCCACGATGAAGATGGAAATGTAGATAATGTGTTTGAATTGTTGGATAACATACAAATGGGAAACTTCACTAATGCACCACAACAAGAAGATTCGCCTGAAGTTGATGTTGGAGGAGGAAGCTTTGATAGATTGTTAAATGATGCACAATGTGAATTGTGGCCAGGTTGTGAAAAATACTCTAAGTTGTCAGCGATATTAAAGTTGTTCCATGTGAAGGTTACAAGCCGAATGAGCAATAAATCATTTGACATGATGCTTGATGCATTTAAGGATATGCTTCCCGATAATAATGTGTTACCAAAGTCTCATTACGAGACTAAAAGCTTGTTACGAGACTTGGGTCTCGGATATGATTGTATACATGCATGTAAACATGATTGTGTTCTATTTTGGAGGGAAAACGCAAGTAAAGAAAATTGTCCACAATGTGGTGAATCGAGGTATAAACCTCACGAAGGTAAGGGTAAGAAAATCCCTCAAAAGGTTCTCCGGCACTTCCCATTGAAATCAAGACTTCAACGGTTGTTTATGTCAAAGGATACAGCCTTAGATATGCGGTGGCATAAGGAGAAACGTGTGAAGGAGACAAATGAGTTAAGACATCCAGCTGATTCAAAAGCTTGGGAAGATTTTGATAGTAAGCATAGTTGGTTTGCTGCTGATCCTCGTAATGTTCGTGTTGGATTAGCAACTGATGGATTCAATCCATTTGGAAATATGAGCAATGCGTATAGTATGTGGCCTGTGATGATTGTGCCTTATAATTTGCCACCTTGGATATGTATGAAGGAGCCATATATATTTATGTCGTTGCTTATTCCTGGTCCAACATCGCCTGGTAATGATATTGATGTGTACATGCAACCTTTGGTTGAAGAGTTAAAAGAATTGTGGCGGGATGGTGTGATGACATATGACGCGTACAGTAAATGTAACTTTAAAATGCATGCGGCAATGATTTGGACCATTAGTGATTTTCCCGCCTATGCGATGGTATCTGGATGGATGACAAAGGGTTATCTAGCATGTCTGATTTGTAACAAAGAAACATGTTCTTGTTTTTTGAAACACGGACGTAAGATATGCTACTTGGGAAGTCGTATGTTTTTATCGTTAGATCACATTTTCAGAAACCATCACAAGCAATTTAATGGCAAAAGTGAAGACAAAGGGCCACCAAAGCAGTTGACGGGTGATGATATTCTAGAACAACTTAACCTCATACCCGAGGTTAGTTTCAGAAAGGGGCCAAATAAAAAGAAGCGAACTCGTGAGGAATTTGAACTTAACTGGACGAAGAAGAGTATTTTCTTTGAACTACCTTACTGGAAGACCATTTTGTTGCGGCACAACCTGGATGTTATGCATATAGAGAAAAATATATGCGATAGTGTGTTGGGGACATTATTGGACATTGAAGGGAAAACTAAGGACACATTCAAAAGTCGGTTGGATTTAGAAGCAATGGGGATTAGAAAAGAACTCCACCTGAGACGTAATGGTGAAAAATTTGAGATGCCACAAGCGCGCTACACATTGTCAAAGAATAATAAAAGACAACTATGTGAATGGCTAAAATCAGTTAAGTTTCCAGATGGCTATGCATCGAACATAAGTCGGTGTGTGAATGTTAATAATTGTAAGATATCTGGATTGAAAAGTCATGATTCACACGTTCTCTTACAACGTCTCCTCCCTATTGCTATACGAGGATTCTTAAATTCAGATATTTGTAACACAATAGCTGAGCTTGGTTTATTCTTCAAGGAATTGTGTTGTCGAACTGTCAAAGTGGATGTCTTAGAGGCAATGGAAAGGGACATTGCTGTTATACTAAGTAAGTTAGAGATGATATTTCCTCCGTCATTTTTTGACATTATGGTGCACTTGGCTCTGCATTTGCCGCGTGAAGCCATCATCGCAGGCCCTGCACAATATCGATGGATGTACCCGATTGAAAGGTGCTGTATATTTTTAGTAAACCAACATTTTTTTTAACAAGTTTTATTAGTTTGTTATTAAATATTATTGGTTTGATTAACGGTTATGTAGATTTTTGCATACTCTCAAATTGTACGTCCGCAACAAAGCACGTCCGGAAGGGTCCATTGCGGAAGCTTACGTGGACGATGAGTGCCTCACATTTTGTTCAAAATTTCTTGGAGGGATTGAGACAAGGTTCAATAGAGAAGAAAGAAATAGTGAGGGGAACTACAACAATAATTGGTCCACATTTTATGATCTAAAGCAAGTGGTTCGACCGATAGGAGCACAAAGTTTGGACATATTGCCCCGTGCGGACATAGAGATGGCCCGATTGTACGTTTTACAGAATTGTGAAGATGTTTTGTCATATGAAGAGTAAGTAACTCATTGCATGTCATATCTTGTCAGTTTCTATGAATATATAGTGTATTTCTTAATACATGTATACAATTGTATCATTAACATAATGTAATTGTTTAGAAAACACAAGGTAGAACTTGAGAGAGAAAATCCGCGCAATGTTTCTCAAAGACATGCTAAAGAATATTCGAGGTGGTTCGAAACAAAAGTAAGTCCATTATGCACCTATTGTACTTAATTAAATAAAATTCGTTAATTTAATTAAAATGAACTGTCATTCATTTATTTAACACTACACTTCTTTTAATAGATAAAGGAAATGCGTCATCATTAAAAGGAAACAACTTGTGATGATCTGTATTCATTAGCGTGTGGACCTCAATGTCTAGTAAGTCGATATTCCGCGTGTATTGTAAATGGGATTAGGTTCCATACTAAGGAAAGGGAGCAAAATCGACGAACACAGAATAGTGGCGTGTTAGTGAAAGGAGAAGACCAAGATTACTATGGTGCCCTAACAGATATAATTGAGTTAAGATATCCTCTGGGTAGAAAAATTTTTCTTTTCAAATGTGATTGGTTCGATGTTAGGATTGGTACCGGTGTACATAAAGATACCTATTTCACAAGTGTAAATGTAGCCAGTAGAGCGTACAAAAATCAGCTGTTTGTGTTAGCAAATCAAGCATTGCAATGCTTCTATGTCAAAGACAATAAATTACAAGGGACGTGGGAGGTAGTTCAAGATATAACAAGTAGAAGCTCGTTTGATGTACCTAAAAAAGAGGGTGAAACAGGAGTATATGATGAAATGCTCAACACTACAGCATACCAAGAGAGCGAACCAAGCATCGTGGATGGAGTTGTTGAAGCGGACTTGGACATGGATCCATTCCCTTTGAACAGGGACGATTTGGAGGGTGAAACTCTTGATGCTGAAATGATTCAAAAATGTAGGGGTGAAGCAGCCATTAATGATGACTTTTGGGATGTTGAGAATGATGAAGCTCTTGACATTCAATATAGTTCAGATGAGGAACCAGAATTAATGTCTGAAGATGATACTGATATGGATGACATGTGAAGCTTTTTATTCTTGAGCATGTACCTCATTTTATTGTTTTATGATTAATACTTTAAGTGACCAGCTGAATTATATTACCGAGCTTTATCTTTTGAGTTACTTTTTGTTTAAATTTCTCTTTAAGTATTGTTTCTGTGCTTCATTAATTTGCAGCTTTGATTTGGTTGACTAAATTAATTGTTATATTTGAGCATTTACTTTTTTTTTTTGGGTTTATGATTATATTTAATGTGATCTATTCAGTTATATTGCCTCTAATTATTGAATTTTTTATTCAATGGAATTATGTAAATATGAAATGATGACTCAGAATATATTTTGCATATGCTTGTTTATTTTGATTTAATTTCACTTGATTCTTCATATCAGCTTGTAAACTAAATTATGGACACCTCCGAGGAACCGATGCGTAGAGTTTTAAGGTCCCGCAGGGCTGAAACTGAGCAACCATCTACAAGTTCACCTCCTACACAACCAAGTGGATTAGGTGAAGATAGGAATTCAACAAATGAAAGAATGGAAGGTGATGGTAGTAATGAGCAGACAGGGCCACAACCAAGTGGAGGTAATTATGCTTCATCATTGATTAACCATAAGTTCTTTTGTAAAATGCCTACGCTTTAATTAAGATGATAAATTTTTTTTTCAGGTCCGATACGAAAAGGGCGTGGAAGAGCAAAAAATGAAGCCTTGCACAAAATTAATGAAAACAATTGGCCAGTTCCAGTTGAGTTTGGAGAGGGTTATATTAAACCTGTTGGTTTAAATAACAAATTATGGACGGCTGAGGTTGGCATTAATACACGAGATACCGAAGCCCTTCTAAAGTATAAAACGTAAAGGGATGTTCCAGATTTTGAGAAAGAGGTCTGCTATGACCATTTGAAGGTAATGATAACCATCATTTAATGCTTGTTTTGGTTAAAAAAAATCAGAGATTACTGGTCCAATTGGTTACAAATTATAGCTTACTTTAATTTTACATTATAAAGGAGGTCTTTGGAGTGGATGCATACGCAAATGACATTGATTTTAAGCGAGTAAATATGGGAATTTCCAGCGCGTTGAGGAAATATAGATATAAATTGAAGTGTCATTTTGAAGAGCATCTTCCGATTGAGAATGCACGCCGCCATCCTTACAATGGTATTGGTAATGCTGTTTGGGAAAAATTGTGTGATACGTGGATGTCACCTAAATTTCAGGTTCAATTTCTTAACTACTTGTTTTTACTATTTAATATAATAACTTCATTCACTAGTTATTTAGGTTTCCTAACTTGTAATATTGTTTGAATTACTACTTAGGAAATAAGTGCAAAAAACAAAGAAAATCGTTCCAAGAATGAGGTTCCACATTATTCTGGATCAATGTCCTTCGTCAGACGTTACGATGATTATGTGCGTAATATACGAAACAATAATTATAAATTTTTTATTTTATATTCTACGTTCTAAACCATATATTTGTCTAATAGTCACTATTACTTTGTACTATAGGTCAAACTCAAAGAAAGGCAGAGCCAAGAAGATGGGGACGGTGAAAGGGAAGAGGATCCTGCTATTCGTTTGTACAAGGACACACATTTTAAGGAACAAGGTGGATGGGCACATGAGAAAGCTAAGAGGAATTTTGTAAGTTAACTATAAGCTACCATGTTAGATTATGAAATTTGGATCTCATAATATTGTCCACATTGATTGATTGTGTTGGATTTGTAATTTATCTGTTTTGCATAGTTCAAATATGTGTCTTATATCTAGGGTATAAATCTGGAGATTTAATAACAACTCATGCCAAATAAATGTTCTATCCCCTTACATTCCATAACTCCAAGATACTTCAAGTCTAGAAACCCCTCACCATCTCTGTCTTGACTCACATTCTTTAAAATTTCCACTTCTACTAAATACATACATGAGATCTTTGGATGTATCATGAAAATTAATGAATCAGTCCATTAATTGGGGTTTCTTGAATTAAAACTTGTTTAGAGTAAAGATTAATTTTAATTAGGGTTTCGTCAATCTTGGTTGTGACTGAAAATTATACCTATAGCAGGAGAGAGAAGAGAGAGAATGGAATAGCTTGTAAATGGAAGCCTCACTTTGCTCTAACAAGTAGTGACCCATATATATATATATATATGAATATATCTGTCTGTCTGTCTGTTTGTGTATGGGGGTGTGGAGAAAGTGAAGTGATTTTCCATGAAGCAACCCTTTTATGCATAAGGTTTATGTGTGGTTGTTACATATATATATATATATACACACTTTTATGTTTTATGATTATCTAAATATATATGTAGAGAAAGTGAGAAGTGATTTTCCATGAAGCAAGCACTTTAATGTCATAAGCTTTATGTGAGGTTGCACATATATATAATATATAATTATCCGTACTCTTTTATTATGTTTGGGTGGCTGTAACTTTGAAAATCCACCAAAAACATAAAATCCCATTTGTAGGAATGTTAAAGAAAAGATGAATGTGACCTCTTTTTTTTGGTAAGTATTGTTGTTCCCTTTTTTATTCTCTTCCTTTTAGTTAGTTTAATTATGTGATATGAAGGCTTCAAGCTACTTTATCGATCAGCTCCTGTAGGAAGGTTATCTTATATATAAAGCATATTCCTCTATTTAGATGGGGTCAGCTGCAGATCCTGTTGTCATCCCACTATATCCTGAGCTGTATTTGTTCTCTCTCTCTCTCACACACACACACAACTTCAGTAAAAGCTGTCCTAGATACTCTTGGAGCGTCATGTTATATTTTATTAGTTAATTTCTTGAATTAAATAGATGACAAATCAAAATCTGATTTATTGTTATAATTTAATAGCTTAGTTTTGGGATAGTAGAGAATCACTATTTACCTATTACATAAATATGTCTACCTATGACATTATTAGATCATCAAATATTTTTCAGACATTATTTTAGATCTTCAAATCTAAATTAACTGCATTTTATGAGATATCAAATCTCCTTTGTAGGACCCCTAAATTCATAAAGATTGGCATTGCCTGGTGTTCCTGGCTGGTTTCTCTTCTTTTTGAGAGCTGAATTTAGATGACAGAGAGGGAGGAACTGAATTTAGATCACATATTTCTCCTCGAGTTTTCACCCTAGGCTCAACCATGTGATAGTAGAGAATGCCATATTTATTCAATGATTCAGCCATATAGAGGCCAAGAGCCTCTGGATTTGAGTCTCCGGATTCCATAAAATCTGCAAAGGGAGAGAGCCTTATTCCCAGTCTATTCGCTCCTATCTCATTAGCAATAACTTCAACTATTTCTAGACATGTCACTCCTACAAATGGGATTTCATTCTCATTCCAAGCACTACAGAAAAGACAATCTACAACTTGTTCAAGCCTTGTATCAGGTTAACTACCTTCTTCTTTCTTTTCCTTTTCTTCGGACTACAAAATTGAGATTATAAAAACTCTAAATTGATTAATTTGCTCTGTAGATTCATCTGTGAGTTTATATATACATCACTGGTCTTGCATATTCTGAGAAGTGGCACACAAAATATATTCTTGATTAATTTGCTCTGCAGTTTCAACTACTCTGTGAGTCTGTAACCTCAACTATTATGACATTTTAACCTATATATCTATGTGAAATTATATATATACACACACATACACTTTTTGGAATTGCATCTATCAGAAAATTATATACATACGCACACATACACATTTTAGAGAGAGATGAGAGACTCACAGGGTTAATTCCTTGCTCCTCTTTGATCTGCGTCTCTGCACTCGGAATCGGAAGTTGTGGACTCTATTATATGTTATTCACATTACACATCAACTTAAAATTTGGGCAGCTCAATAATGGATTCCATTCATGTCAAGTTGTCATTTCAGACGCCCAGAGTGGCTTTTTTGCAGTAGATATAATCATTTCATTTATATGAATCAATGTTTCTACTAAAGGTCAAACTGAATTCATGTTGGGGCAAAACTGCTCGATCAAACCTTGGGACCTTGATAGAAAGAGTGGAAAACTTAAGTTCAATTCAATCCATAAGTCATTGGGTCTGTCTTTCCTAAACCAACCTTATCATAATTAGGTTGATGGGTTTAGCTTCTAAAATCAAGTTGACATGAAGATCTTGAAGTCGACTCAATTATTTTGGTGACTCTTGGAGCTTATAGGTCGTATGTCTCCAACCATATTGTGTTTGCATGATTGACTTTATTATCATTAATAGTGATAGGAGATTCTAAGTTTATTATTCAATTAACGTATATATATATATGACGAGCTAAAAGCTTTTTTTAGCTTTTATATATATATTCATATGACGAGCTAAAAGCTTTTTTTAGCTTATTAGAAAAATATATATAGGTTGATGTTCATCTTTTTCAGATTTATAAGGTCAATACATGGACTCCCAAATGCACTCATTCAAATACCTTCTTTTTTTTTTTTTTTTTTTGGTTATGCTAATATAAAACATTACGCTTATTCTTTTATTTTACCAATCAACTCCAGAGCACAAAAAGACTGGAAAAACAAAATTGGAACTTCACTGTGGCCCCAGAGCCCACCATTAGGATTTTGGAGAGATAGTTGGTTTCTACTAAATGTCAAAATGCATCATTCCTTTTTCATATCAAATTTGGCTATGTGGGTGATGGAATCGCACAACTTGCAACGGGGACAACATGGGCAGCCATTTACCATGTTTGAGAAAGTGCCTTAGAGTTGCAAGTTACAGAAAGTGCCTTGCGTTTTGGCTCCATTCTAATCTATTAAAATACCAGAACCTTAATGATTTGATCAGCCATTTTGCAGTGATGGATACTTTTTGTGTGTTAAACTCGTATCAGACCACATTATAATGATAATGGAGAGTTTTTGTGAAAAAATTAGCTCTGTCAAACCCATGGTTTGTTTGCTAATATTTTTCTGGTGCACCAACTACCCACAAAGTTTCTAACAATAATTTCGACAGTAGTGAGCCTTAAATTTATTT